GCGCGTATACACGTCTGTCTAATATTATATGCCGTATTCGTGGAAGGCATGCCCTCCTCGGTATCTTCTTCCGTGTTTAGACGGTCTGTGCTGTAGTGATGTTCTCGCATTGAGCTGTGCGCGTCTCTCTTACTTGCTGACGGGTGGGCCTAGCCACGTACGAGCACACTTCCTGACTGTCTGTATCCTCAGTGTCATTCGCTTGGTCCTTTTTCTCTAAACCGATGGTTGATGATCTTTTTTGGTTGCTTTTGGGGCTGGTACAGGGCATGCATGTCAGCCAGTTGCACCCTGTGGACTTCAAACGTCTGTGGCCAGATCGCTTGCCTGGCCTCTTTGGCCTTCACGTAAGTTGATCACCTCCTCGGGAGTCATGTCCTGGTTGGATCTCTCAAGCAGATGCCGAGGTTGGAATCTCGACTGTCCAGCCAGGGTTCCCCCCGATAGCTAACACATCCGCGAGCGACCTCGGGAATTGGTCTGTTTAATTCACTTCATTCTGGCAGCTTCTGGCAGGTTCTCTTTTTCTCTCAACCCAATTGGCAATGCCAGACACTCGTTGTTATGCAGTGAATACGGGAGCCCGAATGCCCCGTACTGAGGCTCGTCATGATTTCGTGATAGATCTGTGTTGGTTGGCCCGAGTTGGCTGCATACGAGCAACCATCGTGTGGGCTGTATACTCTTCTCACTGCTACGGAGCTTTATTCATTGGCTGCCAGCTTACATGCTCCTCCTGCTCTTATTCGTGCAGCACTAACGACCAGCTCCGATTCTCGTTGCAGGTCTCTGCGAAGGCCCTCGTCACACACTCTAGCAAGCTGCGACTACTTTTTTCCTGGCCGGTAACCTTTAGTTGCGGGTACATAGCTCTGTTCCAATCTGGTCATGAAGTAAGTCCATTCTTCCGCCCTCGACCCGCCAGAGACATGCTAGGTTTCTTCACCTTTGTCGTGACCTAGCCGGGCGCCGACTTGCGCGTTGTGTGTGTGTTCTGCCCCTGTCGCACAGTAAAATGTATCTGCGAGTAACACCTCGACTACACGAATCGTGCAGGAGTCAACGGGCTCCGCGCAGGTCTATGCTCACTCGCCAGCCAGCAACTGGCAGATTTCAACGCAGGGCAACATGCACTGGGAGACACCTCGCGGCGATGATGTCGCGGACGCGTTCGATGTTAGCTGTAGATCACGAATTTGTCAGGCATAGTATGGTAACGCATTTGGTCCTACTGACGCATTGGACGCGGGCATGCTGACAGATTCAGCATAGAGATGTCGAGCGCCAGTTTGTAGCTTTACCTGTGCGCAATCTAGACGCAGCCCACATTAAATCAAAACGCCTCGCTCCCGCCCTCCGCGAATATATATGGTTGATCCTCGGTACTATATGTTAGTACTTGATACGACAACGGAGCCCCGTTCAGGACAGATACATTATGCATGAGTATTAGATTTGTAACATTTATCCCGCTCATTGTGAGTCTCGCCGCTAGCAGGTATTCTGCGCGGACGCGTATTGATCCGCAGGCCACACGGGACCCTACCTATGGCTGTTTTTCGGATCCTACTCTGTCTGATATTCTCGGACGACCTTATACGGGTCATCTCTCTACTGATCCTCCTCAGTGCCACTTGAAGCGACCATTCTTCCTCGCATGGTATGTGTTTACCTATGCGACGCCTACTGTCCTTCACCTCACGCTCGCGCTACGGTACACCTCCTGAAAGATGGGGCAGCCACTGGTCTCAAGATCAGCCAAAGGTCTCAGAGCGGTAGAGAAAAACATTGAAATCGAAAGAAAGATAGCTTACCAAATTTATTTTCCCGCCTCTAAGTCAGAACTGCCCCCCATAAACCCCTATAAAAATCCACGGACGTCACACCCGACACAAACAGCCATCAATAACCTAGGTGGCAGCGGTGCCACATCGGCCCTCGAACCCTAGCGGAGGAGAGCCGACTCACAGGGTCGTGACCGCAAGTCGCGGCTTGTCATCTTATCAAAGGTTGTGAACAATCTGCCATTTGTTCTTAAACCATTCAAACAAGGTGCAGCCATCGTCTAACTGATGAGAATCGACCATCTTGAAAAATGACAATCGGCATCCGTGTGAAGCCGCAACTAGGGCAGTCGGCCTATTCTAAAACGGGCTAGACGGACCATTGGTCGTGTGCTGACCTGGAAGCGATTTTTGGCGCTCGACTGCCAAGGACACGGTAGAATGTGATGGATGTCAGCTGCAGTGCTGTTCCTTCGTAACTGGCGTTGTCAATACTGAATATGTGCATACGTATGTTTGCTTACATGCTAATAAATGATAGAGCCGAACGATAGAGCCGATTATCTCAATCAACGCTTGATCGCTTTGCTATTTTGTGCGTAGTTTCGTATTCGCCCCTGCAGTTTCTTGCATGCTTTTGCATCCAAATACTACGTGATAAAATTGTGTAGTGTGATTATATAGCAACTTAGTGGATACCCGGTCGTTTGGCTCGGCGAAATCAGTGGCGTTACTCAGTTGGTGGGACTGCCTTGGTTGAAAGGAAATTACCCAGAACAAGATGCTATAACTAAAACTAAATCTAGTGTGTATCCATGCCATCCGTCCAACTTCGAATTCCATTGCATTCCATCCGCGCACTCCCCGGATCGAAACCGGCAATCCCTTTATCCCATCCCATCCCCATTATTCGGGCGCATCCCGGATTCCGATTCCATTCTCATCCATGCATCCCATCCCATGCCCATCCTTATCCATCGCCATTCCATCCCATCTCAGTCCCATGCCATCCCATTCCATCGCCATCCGCATCCCATCCATCGCACGCATCCCATCCCAGATTCCCATCCCATGCCATCCCCATGCCATCCCATCCCAATCCTCCATCTCCCATGCCATTGCATGCCATCCATCCAAACACTAAAAAATAATAAGAAATTCAAAAGATAAAAACACATTTAAATTTAATTGAAAATAGGTTAATAAATTAAAAAAATAATGAATTAATTATTAATTATATCATATTAAATAAATTAAGCGCAAAAAAAGGAAATAAAAGGGCCAAATAAAGTTCCCCAGCTTGGCACCGAACCTCGCAATCCCGCGCTGTAAAGAGACGATGTCTCTAGCCATTAGGCACTGGCCGCCGTTAAGCGCTAGGTACACCGTGGGGATTCACACGTACGTGCATGTTAATTCTGTACGCACCGTCATCTATTGATGATAGGGTAATTTTTATCAATTTTTTTACACTTTTTTAAATTTTTGTTTCAGCCAGAACCACCTTCCAGACGTGCTGAATCTTTGGTTTTCCTCTAGGCTGCGGAGTTCTCTAGTCATGCGAGTACGGACTAATTCGGCTGAACAACTTTATATATATAGATAGAATATCTATAGAAGGGATAGATGGAAATCTGGATATAGATAGAAGGGAGTATTTTGTGATTTTGTGCTGGCCAGTATGCGATTAGGTAGAGTATAGAAGGCAGTTAACGATTCAGTAGTACCGATTTCTTATCTGATTGTGCCTAAGTTAATGGGAACGCCGAGTTATATTTTATAAATCATCTGTTGATATACATATCTTAGAGTATGTAATATAATATGTCGTATATTAATTCACTGCACTTAGAGAACAGATACACTTTTGTGAATTTTTTCGGTTTACAATTCTTATAAAAAGATAGTTTCATACATGTCATCTGCAATTGACATTTAAATATATATATACACACATATATATATATACTCTTGGTTGCAGCAGAGGGTAAAAAACGTCAATTAACTATAATACTTCACAGGCCACCCTGTAAAATGTTTGTACAGTTGTGGCGCATCTACATTAATTACATTCTTGATATTAATACAATTATTGATAGACGTCTGACTAATTGACAGACTATACATCAATAGACAACACATGACAGATATCTTATCATTCACATCCTCCACTGGCACAAACAACTCTGGCAACCATTGACACAAACAACGCTGACAATCGTTGACGCAGTCTGCGCTGGCACAATCCACGCTGGCAATCACTGGCACAATCCACGCTGGCAATCACTGGCACAATCCACGCTGGCAATCACTGGCACAACCCACACTGGCAATCACTGGCACAATTCACGCTGGCAATCACTAGCACAAACCATGCTGGCAATTGCTAGAACAAACCATGCTGGCAGTCGCTGGCACAAACCATGCTGGCAATTGCCAGCACAATCGACGATGGGAATCGCCTGTAATTTTCAACGCACTACGTCATCTGCGTCCTTGCAGTCTTGGAGGTGGCACACGTCGCCACTACAAGGCGCTACAGCAGCTGGCCCTGCCACGAGTGCTCCATGCATGTGTAGCATGAGCCAGCCAGTGCTTAACCGTGGTGAGCGCAGTGCAGGCACTAGGGGGATCTTAACCATCAGTAGCCCACAGTCTCAAGACCGCTAGGATGCGCGCAGCCACTGGCGGGCGATATGTCACCAGCGCCCACAGCATGGTTCCTGCTACCAGGGCGAGTATGCAGTCACTAGAGGCCGCTACATCATGAGCACCCAAAGTTCCGTGACTTGGACTACTTTTTCCTGGCCAGTAACCTTAGTTGCGGAGACATAGTCTGTCCATCTGGTCATGAAGTAAGTGCATTCTTTACTCGACTCGCCAGAGGACAATGTAGGTCTCTTCACCTTTTCGACCTTAGCGGGGGCGACTTGCGGTTGGGCGTGTTCCGCTGTCGAATGTATCTGGAGTAACTGTACCACGATTGCAGGATCAACGTCCGCAGTCTTGTACTCGCAGCCAGCAACTGGACAGTTCACGGCAGGCATGATGGGGAACACTCGGGCGTGGCCGGTTCGATGCTAGCTGTAAATCACGAATTTGTCAGCATAGATAGGAATAACCATTTGTCTCTGACGCATTGGACGCGGGACAATGCTGACAAATTCACAAAGAGAGCGAGGCCATTTGTATAATTTACCTGTGCGCATTCTAACGAGCAATTAAATAAACCTGCTCTATATATGTACCTCGGGTACATATATGTATAGTACCTGATACGACAACGACCCCTTCAGCAGTACTAGCATGAGTATTAATTTGTAATATTTATCGCGTCATTGTCTCTCGCGCTCGCAGGTGTTCTGCGGCCGAATGATCCGCGGCCACATGGTGGACCACGGCTCGGACGCCGGTCACCCACTGACCCTCAGCTTCAGCGACCTCTCTGCGTGGTGCTACCCATGCGACGCCTACGTCCACCACGCCGCGCTCGTCCCCCCGAAGAGGGCAGCACACGTCGCCAAGTTCGGCGTGGACCTGCCACACGGCTCCGAACCCTGACGGGAGAGCGGTGACAGTCGGCCATCTTATAAATTGTGACAATCTGCCATCTTAAACAGCAAAAGTCAGCCATCTTAAACTGTGACAATCGACCATCTTGAAAAATGACAATCGGCCATCTTGAACAATAGCAGTAGGCTATTCTAAACGGCGCTAGACGACCATTGTGAATGTGGCTGACCTTGGAACGATTTGGCTCGACTGCCAAGGACACGGGCAGAATGGGTGGATGTGCGCAGGTTTTGTTGATCGTCTCAATTACGAATATGTGATTACTATGTTTGCTACATGCTAATAAACGATAGAGATCTAATGAAATTATTCAATCAACTATGTTTGCTATTTTTAGCGTTTTCTATACCCTGAGTCGATGCTTTTGCAATCCAAATGCTACGTGTAAAACTTGTGTAGTGTATATATAGAACTAGCGGGATACCCGGCGTTGCCCAGTTGGTGACCGCTTGGTTGAAAGGAAAATA